GCCAAGGGCGAGCAAACGTGGCCGTAAGCTTTTAGGGACTAGTCTCTCTCATTTCCACATCAATTATGTACATTAACTTTCAATTCGTGATTCGATTCCTTTTCGCAAAACTACCAGTACATGACGTGGCGGTGGTGGGGCAAATTGAGCACCGCCCTCTCGTGTGCGTACGCCCCGTAGCGCTTGAGACCGCTGGATGCATGCAAGTGATCCAGAGAAAGGAGTAAGCAAATGCGAGATCGCCTTGGCGTACTGCAAAGTACCAGTATCGTTGACGGTGAGGCCGATGACATTAGGAATAACGGCCGCACGATCGCAGCGACAACGCTGCGTGAAGAATGATGCGGGGATAGTGCAATGCACGTTGTGTTTTGGATACTAGAAAAAAGTACATCATTGCAAAGACTCCACGTGACGGGTCCTGTGACGATGATCACGCATCAACCTTTTCGGCGCCACGAGTGACGTGGCACGCTGACAACCGCCAGCAATCGTCACGTTCAAATATGGGTGTAGTGACACACCAATGGCTTAGGCAATGCAAGTTAGTGTGCAAAGTTTTATTAGAGTGTATGTGGTCGCAAAACGTTGGAAATTAGGTTTTTGCTTCGTTGGCCGCCCTGCAGCCATAGTACTATGCACCGACGAAACCTCCAAGTTGCTGGTAGTATTAAGGCGGTGACTACAGTGTGCAATCTCGTTTGAAGAGTTTGGAGAGAGCGAGCTCTTGTCGCCACGCCAACCGCGAGTGTCAAGTCCGTCGGCAGGGTGCTTAGTGCTCCCACCATTCCCGAGACGTCAACGACAGATTCCCACTCTCATCGCGTAAAGGACACATGTATATATGCAGGCAGCGCGTTTGTGATTTTGCTTTTCTTGACGTTTATGCCCCATCTGCCTGCTGAGCGCCTGCTGCAACTGGCATGCGCAGAGGCAGCGTCATGCGCTGGAAGATTTCAGTCCAATACTGCTGCACTGGCGTTAAGCGAATGGCGACGAGGATCGTCGCACGGCCAGTTGGCGTTGCATCCCACGTACACTCGACGAGTCGACGGTCGCTGCTACCGACGATTCGGGTCGATGTACACGCTACAATATGGTACTAGTACAGCGTAGCATGACCCTGCGCTGGGGGCATGGAAAGCCGTCTACAAAACCGAGCTCTTTCGGCCGCAATCCTGCCTAAATTAGATAGCCCGCGATCTGGATTCACTGCAGGACGACATTTTACGCTCATACATTGTACGCACGTAGTGTGTATGCAGCCTTACTGCAGTGAACGATCTCCGTCAACAACAGCAACACAGCAATCGCGAACGCCAATGCACCCGTCGGTCTTCTATTAGTACGTCACCTTGCGCCACGCCAGCGTCGCGGCAGTGAGAACGGGCACGCCGAGCAGCAGCACCGACACCGTCGAGGGCCACGACGAGTGCGTTCTATTCGCCACCTTGTCGGTTCTTGTCCATGGCGCGGGCGACCCGAGTTGCGCGGCGACGTCGAGGGCCGAGCACACTGCGCTTTCCTGGAGCGGGACTTGGAAATGGGCGTACGGCCCGACAAACCAAATGCCGTCACGTCCCTGCTGCGTCTTGAGCGTCTGCAAGAGCGCAAACGACTGCTTGTTGAAGACGGGGCGAATGAAACCCATTTGGCGCAAAATGAGCGCCGGGTTGATCTCGACAATCGGGTTCCACGTCTGGAAAATGTTTTCGAGTTCCTTGATTTCGGGCGTCCAGCGCGTCGGCCAGAGCGTCATCATGGCGTCCATGCCCGTCCGCGTCTTCGTCGACGACGACCGCGGGAGCACAAAGTTGAAGAACGACCAATCACTGCGCGTCGACGGCATCACGACCGGGTCTTTGTGGACCACGGTCGTCGTATAGTCGTGCGGGATCGCCGACAGTGTCTCGCGAACGTCGGCATCGATGTCCTTGAGGAACGAGAGCGCCGTGTTGGCCTGGGACGCGACGATGACGTGGTCAAAGGTCGCAGTCTCTTCAACGTGGCTGCCGTGCGCTTGGTAGGTCACCGTGGCGAGACCATCCGTCGTGGCCTTGTAGACGCCCGTGATCTTGGTGCTGAGGTGCACGGCCGACGCGCGGCTCGAGAGAAGGCGCGCGACGTTGACCGACCCGTTGACAGTCACGCGCTGGTTCATGGACGACGACTTGCTAAAGTAATCGTGGACGACGGTAATCGGGTAGGCGAGGCACGCCTCGTACGAGCACGTGAGCATCATCGAGAGGAACGGGAGGAGGATGCCGTCGATAAACTCGGTCGAGTAGCGCTGCGCCTTGAGGTACTCGTCGACGGTCATCGAGGGCGGCGTCGCGTCGGGCGACTGGCGGAAAAAGTGCAGCGCGTCGAGAAGCGCGCGCAGCGAGTACTGCTTGTACATGTGCACCAAGTGGCGCAAGGACGGAAGGCGGTACCCGAGCAGCGTGTACGAGCTGCTGCGGTAGAACGGGCGCTGCCCGAGCTCGAGAAAGGCCATATCGCACGGCAGTTCACGCGTCTCGACGTCGATTTCCTTGTAGAGCGCGGCGAGGTTGACGTAGAAGCCGGTCGAGTAGGACCGGATCGGGCTGTCGAGGTGCACGTCGCCAAAGTGCATGGTGTGCGAGCACATGCCGAGGCGCTCTTCCGACTCGAAGACGGTCACGTCATGGTCGGCGCCGAGGAGGTACGCGGCCGAGAGGCCCGAGATGCCACTGCCAATGACCGCAATCTTCATGGCCACGTGCGAAATTCACAAATTGAGCGTGGCGCGATTGGCGCTTCGAACTTCGTGTTACAGTGTATTTTTGCAACCAAACGCGAGCCGACATACAAAGCACAAGGCGAATCGCTAGCTTTTCATGGGACAGTCGGCTTCGAAGTTTGGTTTTTCGGGACTTCGGTTGCCGTCACCACCAGCTTGTCTGGCCGTCGACTCGACACTTCGTCGGTGCCACCGCGGCGAGCTCAGACGCTTTCGGGAGTAGTATTGTTATTGCCAAGCATCCTGTACAGTGTAATGGAACGTAGCGAGCTGAGACTTGAATCTGTGTTTGTGAGAGAGGCTCTGCAGGCAGCTACGTGACCCCTCGGCTATAAGAAAGCATCGAGAGAGCTCTTTTCCCATGCGAATTGGTGGCCATTGCCACGTTTGCGTGGCTACGCGCACCAACTCGCGAGGGATGTTTCTCTTCAGGCGGTTGGCCTGTTTGCAATGTCCGTAATATGTGTGTCAACCTTGCGACCACTCTACAGGGTATTCTGCCCACGTGCACAAAAAGCGTCGACCGACCTCATCTCGAAGGGCCGTGCAATCAGACAAAAGTGTGCTCGATATACCATCACCTATCATCATCCACGGCCTCCGTGGTTTTTACAACCGTGGTCTCATTACCACTGCGAGGTCCTAAACTAAAAAGTCTTAGCTTGTCGACAGAGCGTCCATCGCATCTTCCAGCGTTGCATCGGCCACGTCGGGTCGTTGCAGCGACGCGACGGTCTTCTGGACGCTTGCCCACATGTCATTGGCGCCGTCGACCGAGTAGATGCCGACGCAGCTCACGCGAATAGTCTTGAGGACTGCCTTGCCGAGCTTGCGCCTAATAATGCGTTTTGTTGGTTTGTGGCCCGTCCAATATCGTACTTGGAGAGGGCAAAGACGACCGGGATCTTGTTGGCGCGTGCCAAATCGATGAGCTCGACAATCTTGTCATCGAGGCCGCCTTCCGCCGCGCACTCGTCCACGTCGTACGCCACGAGCAAGCACATGACCTTGAGGTTCTTGAGACCTCGCTTCACCTAAAGAGAGGATCATAGTCTCCTTCCCAACAGACAAGTCGCTACCTCGCGTAGACCGAAAACGAGGCGACGTGTTTTCTTGGCCTTGAGCGGGTTGGTCAACCGAGCACGTTCCTACTCGTGAGATCATAGTGTGTCGTCTTCGTGGATCAAAGCTGTCACCTGCAGCTGCATGAGACGCCCGAGGAGCGCCGTCACACCGACTTGCAGCTCGCCGCCAACGTCGATCTTCTGCGAATATGGCAATGATTCAGCGTTTCGCGTAGAGGGGAAATGGTACCTGGTCGACGTACGCACGGATCGCACTGGCGTTCCGAAGCTTCCGGACGGGCGGCACGTCGACTGTCGGAATCGACGTCGGAGGTGGTGCGACCTGGCCTCCGGCCCACTCGACTCGAATCGGAGTGCCACCATACGGCTTGTTGTCGTAGTGCTGCGTGACCGCCATGGCCGCCAACGGCGATGCGTACTGGAGACGGCAGACGCCCGTGTCTCGGTCAATCTCGACGGCTTGCACCGGATGCAGTTTTGAAAACTCGGATGTTACTTCGTCCCGGACTTCCTCAAACTCGTCGTCGTCCGCAAGGTCGGCAGGCGCCAAGTATTTGAGAACCGTGACCCACGACATGGCGTCCGTCGTCGCAGATGTTGCGTACAGACAGAGAAGCTGGCGTCCGCCAAACGTCGCATTGTGCAAGGCGGCGACCGCGGCGTCGGCGCTGACTGAAGCCTTGTACGTGACAGTCACGGCGCCCGTCGACCGGTCAATATCCATGGCCGAGATCGCACCATGCCGCTCAAGCTGCAGCCGCACGTCTGCCAACGTGTCTTCGTACTCGTCGTCGTCTTCGATCTCATCTACCGAGACCAAGTGGTCAATAGTCACAGACTGCGCTTTCTCGGGGTTGGCGTCGCTCGGTGGCGGCGCCAATGATGCTCCCGCCGTGGCACGGTGGTACGCCTCCCATTTTGCCGCGCGGTCGCGCAGAATCTTCTTCTTGAGCGTCGACTTCTTCTTCTTCTTTGTCCCAACGGGACGCGGGGCGTTGGTCGTCGCCGGGTCATCATGATGCGTCGCGCTGCCTGGAACAAACGCTTTCGCGGTCGCGCGCATGGCCGCCGGCTTGGTCTCTGCATTAGTAGCCGGTGGCGGCGCCTTGGCCTTGGCCTTTCTCGCAGGCTTGGCCACAAAGTCAAGGAGGTTGACCTGTCCGTTGGTCGGCCGTTTGGGCGGCTGCTTGGACTTGATCGCTTTTTGTGGTGCGGATGACACGGCCTGTGTTGGCGCTGGTGGTAGCGCAAGCGGGCGAGCGTCTCGAGACGTCTCCCATCGGCGCGCCGTCGGCGGTGCGTCGGGAAGCGTGCCCAGTCGCCGCTGGATCTGCAGCACACCAGGTTGCATCGTCGCCTGTCCGGATACAAATCAAGTATCCGAATGAGTTAAATGCACATCAATTTTTTGCAATAAAAATACAGCACGCCATCTTGACGGCAAGCTGGAGCTACGGACACGAATGAAGAGGATCAATCAATCAATCAAACGTGTTCGCGTTGAAACCAAATTAGCAAAAACTAACTCAAAGACGAATGAAGAGGATACTACACGATCTGAACGATGGCCGATACTGTCCTCCCTAATGCTCACGTAGAGTATCTCCACACAGCACAGCGCACTTCACATGTCCTTGCCATGACAGAGTAGGTCGACCTAAGTGCCTGCGCTCCTGACGACGGCGGGTACTCTGCTCAAGACGACCACCAAAAGTTATAACTAAGGAGCATCCATTTTCTTGTGTGGTAGAAGCGGACAAGATTGATATTCGTATAAATAGATGTGTAATTCTCTGGGCGCCTTTTGATGCAAGCGCTTGGATGGTTCATGGCGCCGTCTGCCCGAGTTCTTCTGTAAACTCGACAGGGTGCGTCGAGCCGCGAACAGCGCTCTGGTCGTGTTGCGGCCTCGGTGGCTACCACTACATTGCGCCGGCCGCCTTGTGGCTCGTTTTTCTCAGCCTCACTGCGTGTGCGCAATACCACTACAACCTCTTCCACGACCTCGACAGCACGGCCGACGAGCTTCACGACATTCAGACCCAAGGTACAATACGCCTCTTCGCACTGTATGTGTACATAGCAACACTTCTACGTAGCTCTCGGTGTCGTTGTCGCGCGTCGGAAGCGCGTCATCTTTGGCAAAACGTACCGAGACCCGCGACGGCTGCTCATGCTCGGCGCCATGTGGAGCGAGCTCTTTGGCTTTAGCTACACCCCTGGTCAGCTCGTCATCTACCAGCTCACGCAGTCCAACATTGCGGGTCTGTTGTCTGGTCCTGTCCAGTTTGGCTTGTGTGCAGTCTTCTCCAGCTTGCTCTACCTACTCGAGGGACCGCGATGGCTGCGCAAGTGCCACCTCCGTCGACCGAAACTCGGCGGCCCGAT